TTGAAAAATGACTTTCATTGACTATTCGGTATCCAGTGCCGTTAAAATAATGCTTTTTGAGTGTGGTATGTGTAAAAGGGATGACTGAACATGAACTGAGTATTGGTGATGTATCAAACCAGTTCAGTTGCTGGGGGTATGTGGGTGGAAGGTAGGTGCTGTTGATTGATTGATTTATCTCCGGTTGCCGCCAACACGGAAACCGCCGCCACGGCCACTACCACGGCCGCCACCACGGCTACCTCCACGGCTGCCACCACGACCGGGGCGACCACGCATGGGCATGCGCTTTTGAATGCGTCCGGCGCCGCTGGGACCGTGAGTCTTGGGCATGCCTAGGCCACGACGGCCAGGGCCGGGCCGAGAGGCAGGGCCAGAGGCGTTGTTGTCGTTGTCATCGTCCACGTCCATATCGTCACCCCCCTTCTTCTTCTGGGACTGGGCCATCTTGAGCTTACCACGTTGGCCGCGACGGACGGCGTCGGGACCGCTGACGGCTTGCACGTAGGCGTTGATGCCGCTCTCTCCAGCGTTGTTGTCCAGGCCAGCGGACATGTCAACATCCTCGTCATCATCGCCAAGGATGAGACGGCCGTCGGAATCGACCTTCGCGTTGCGCTTCTTCCGGGAACCGGGGCCAGTGTTGAGGAAGCGGACACTAGGCTTGGTGGTGGAAATGTTGGCCAGGGCATCGGGGGCGAGAAGGTCGAGAGGGTTGTCTTCGGGGGACATTTCACGAATGTACTGCTCGCTCTGCTTGTTGGACCGCTTGCCCTTGCGGCCCTTGAGCGCATGAGTGACGCCCTCCTCATCGACGTCAATCTCACTGGCGTCGTCGTCAGAGTCGAGGTCGGAGTCGTAGACGGCCTTGTCAAAGGCGTTGCTGTAGGACCGGCCGCTCTTCTCTTCTTGCCCGGCGGGCTCATCATTCTCCTCATCGTCCTCGCCATCCTGCTCGGCGTTCTTCTTCTTCTTGCGTCTCTCGCGCAGCTTCCGGATGTTGACCACCAGCTTCCGGTCGGCCTCACCAACCAGCTCCTCGATAGGAGCGGCACCGAAGCGTCGGATAAGGCGATCAAGGATACCCTTTACCTTGCTGCGGAGACGACCCTTGTGCTCCTTGCTCCAGACCATCAGGTTGGGAACAAGGGAGCTGAGGCGCGCACGGAGATCTTCATCGGGAAGAACAACCACGGCGACCTTGACAAAGCCGAGCACAGACCGGACAATTTCGCGGTTGTTGCTGGTAAGGAACAACTCCACGGTCTGGACCAAGTCGGACCGGACAGTAGGTTGGATCTGGGTGTGGAAATCGAAGAACAACCGAGACAGAGCTGTGACAGAGGCAGCAACCATGTGCGGCGAGCTACCCGCCAGACCGGCAGACACCATGGTGAAGAACTCCTCAATAGTGGCGGGAGCATCAGGGGCATCATTAGGCATGTGCGGCACCAAGGAGTTGCGGATCTTAGTGCCGGCAGGGTTCTTCTCTTCGTCGGTAGTCCTCTTTGCCAGGTGGATGAGCAGGTCGAACGAGGCTGTCCGAGCCTTCTCATTGCTCTCCTTGCAGCCCAAGACAACTTCCGAGAGAACGGATGGAATGAAGTGCAGGTCGGAGGTCGGCAAGTAGGTGATGAGTTCGTAAATCGCCAGCATACGATCCCGACGAGCAGATGCTGGAGTCTTATCCGCCGTGCCCAGGATGAGCGCCTGCAGCTCCGAACTGCGCTCTTGAAGCGCGGCGCTTCCAGTCTCTGTCTGGGCCAAACGGGGGATCAGCTTGTATGCCTTCTTGATCAGCTGTTGATCACCAGTCTGTCCGTTAAGGATAGCCGCAGCTATGCCAAACAGGTTTGCGAAGCTGGTGCGGGGCAGGTAAATCGACATAGCAATAACCAGGTCGATCAAAGTGTGCGACGTAGGTGGCATCTTGTCGCCAGAACCAGTCTGCTGATTGCCCTGCTTGGCTGCTTCGGTCTCTGAAACCACCGAGGACTCCAGCATCGAGGTGACACGTTCAAACGTCTCATTCAGCTCCTGTAGAAGATATATTAGCAAGACTGAAATGGAAGTATTGGGAATAAGAACCAACCTTCTCAGGGGCAATGCTCAGATAAGCATTGATACACTGGAGAATGTAGCCTCTGTAGTGTGGGAGAGTTTGGCTGTACACGTTGAACAAAACCGCCAACAAGTTGCTGGCAAAACCGGCAAGATGAGCAACGTTCTTTTCCGCTGCCTTCTTGGTAATCCTACGCTGGAGGATCAGATCATCCTCGTTCGCCTCAAGGGACAAGATGGCCTGGTTCGACTCCACCAGATTCTGCAAAGCTCTGCAAATGTCAACACGCAGGTCGGTCTGCTTGTAGAGGACGTTGGAAAGGAGCTCCGCAAAGCCCTGATCGAAAGACTCAGTCAAATCCAGAGGAAGCTCACAGTAGCCCGGAAGGATAGCCCACGTCTGCTGAACGAGAGTTTCGAAGATCTTGACTTCAACGGCCTTCTCCCTGGCGCTGAACTCCATGACCTTCTGGTACAAAGCTTCACTGAGAGGGACGAACTCAGATCGGAAATGGGCAAGGTCGGTATTGGTGACGTTGTCGCGGAGAACCGGGAGGAGCCACACGCGACCAGGCTGGCCATTCTTCTGCTCAATAATATTCAAGGGCAGAATCTCCAGGACTGCAGCAGGGCCCATGGCCTCAATGGCGCTACCAAGGACGTTGTCCGCCTCCTTCTTTCCCTGGAAAGACTCGTTGCTGCGGAGCTCTCCGACCGTCTTGACAATATCATCCAAGAAAGGGCTAGAGCGCCACTTGAAGCTGTCGAACAGAGCCGCACACACGTTGAACACTTCCCGCCATGCTGCCTGGTACTTGACGGAAAGCAGATCCATAGCAGCCTTGGCAATCTTCTCGAGCGTCTTCTCATCGTAGACAGAGGGCTCAATGATAACGCTGTTGGGGATGCAGTTGGCCAAGAACGAGACCAAGCATTCAGATGCCGACACACGGATGTTGCTGGAGGGCGAGGCCAAATAGCCGGAAACCATGTTGAACAAAGCGGGCAGCTTTTCAAACGTATCCTCGGGGCTGGTCTGAGCAGAGACATCGTAACCACGGGACAGCACGGCAATCCACGGCGGCAGGAGCTGCGAATCGTTCTGGGCGGGCTTCAAGTCCGTGATCGCCTCCAGGAGACGGGGCAACTTCGAGGACGAAAACTCATCGGCCATGCTGGAGAAGATCACCTCGAACACCTCAAAAGCACCCATCGTGATGAATTCGTTCGTGGACCGGGAAGCGTTCATCAAGAGCTCGCACAGCGGCTCAATCTTCTTGCTGGGCCAACCACCGGATGCGACCGCGAGCGTCTTCACCAGTTGCAGGGAGTGGATGACCAGGGGGTCGTGGGTGTCCCGGCCGCTGGGATCATGGCGACCACGCTTAGACTTGGCTGCAGCCGTGATGCTGTCACTCAAGGTGCGCATAGCAGTCTCCGCACACATATCGGCCGCCGGGTGGTCGAGGGAAGGACTCGGAGGAGGCGACTTGAGCACCTTGACCAACGCGTCCTGGGCACGCTTCCGCACCTTGGGACGGTGATCGACGGCCAGACTCAGCAGGCCAGCGATCGCACGGCGCGGGCCGATCTGTGTGTGAGGAAGGTTCCAGGCTGCAACATCCTGGGCGACCAAGAGGGACTCGAGACATCCGATGGAGGGACGAAGAAGCGGGGCATCAACTTCTGGCAGGGAAAGGGCAGGGGCGAGACCGGTGAGAATCTGAGAGAACTTGGCGCGGAGAATCGAGGCAGGGACATAAGCGGTAGTGAGATCGAGTAGATAGACGACGGAGGTTGCCAAATCCTTGTTGACGATGCCTTGAGTAGCGGAGATCGACTGGGACAAAAGCGCAAGCAGCGCAGCAAAATAAGCGGTGGGAGAAAAGTCGGCCTTTTGATCGCGAAGAGTGTCTTCCACTGCAGACAGCACCACAGCCGTCTAAAAAGGAGGAGGATCGTCAGTAAAACCATGGTGAGATAAGAGGGAATCTAGTGAAGCCTCGAATTGGGGTGGGCTGGAAGACTCCGCGGGATGAGGATTCAACGGGACTTACATGGTGCTGGTTCTGCAGCTTGGGAGACTTGATCTTCTCAAGCTTCTCCGCCAGGGTCGCCATGATGGGACGATCAACCGACGGGCAGTTGAGAAGTAGATCCAGAAACCTGGGAAGTAGTAAGGGAGGAGGGAGAGGAGGGAAGAAGTGGTGGATGCGGAGATTTTTTTTGTGGTCCGGCTGGATCTTTTTGGGCGGATGAAAAAAAGGTACGGCGCTTTCTTGGCGGCGCTCTATCGATAAACCCCCGATAACACCAGTCAACACTATATCCATGTCTCTTTTTACACCCACCAGCTCGATAATCTACCATTAAATGGATTTCTGTAGGTGTAGTCAATGTCTCACTCAAATGGTCCAATTCGGAGAAGATATAGCCTAAGAAAAATAAGGAAATAATACTATAGAACAGCGTAATCAGACATGACAATCGTCAAGCGTAGCCTCCACCCATACAATCACACACGCCTTGATCAGACTCTCTTTCTGCTGGAGACAAGCTGGGATCTACTCCGAAGCCGTCCAAGCACCCGTTATGTCGACTATCCTTCAGTCTTGTTGTGCGCTCCCACAGGCTTTCCGGTGGAGCTCCTCCTCTTCCTTTCCCTCACTCACACAGTCTCTTTCCTATCGCACACCTCCTCACAGCAGATCCTTCGCCTCCGCCGCCACTCTATTGAGCCACGATACCACCTGACTCTGGCGAACGGTCCCGGAGGGCAATTCAAACGGACCAAGTGTCAACTGATGCCTTGAGGCCGCATAGCCCATCAGACATCAACCAAGTGTCTTGTGTCGCGTCGCTTTACGATTCCCTAGTTGGGACGCGACAAATCTAGCACGGATGTAGGAAAGGGAGAAAGACTGAAGCAGACATCGTGTCTAAAACAGTATCTCTCCGCTATGCTCCGGCTCAAAACCCAGCGTCTGTAGCTTCCCATGGCGCTTCTTGTCGCCAACTTTCCGGGCTCCGTCTTCCTTCTTCTTCAGCTCAAACACTTCCTGGACCGACGCGCGCTGGATATGAGGGGGGATGTCATCTTCTTTGTCGAGATCCTGTAACCCGGAAAAGCAAGACACATTAATTAGCCAAACTCCGGCCCTAAACACGAATAGCGAAGAAGACACATGGAAGTTTCACGTACAATTTCACCAAGAAGCAAGACATTCTCACCCCGAACGAGAAATATACCGCGCGGGATATCGGCGTAGACGTTGCCAGCATATAGACGTTCAATGGTATCCTGAAGGACGAGGTTTGCTGCAGCAGTCACATAGCAAGGGTCGCATGGTCAGACATATATCCTTCATCAAGAGATGTTGATCATGTAGCGCATACCGAACTGATCCCAGCTTCTCAGAACTCCGATCAACTTCCGCCCGTCTCGAAGGACTAGAACTAGCTTCTCTGAAGACCATTGTTAGGTTGGGGTTCGATTTCAATAATGACATGAGCCCACGGGGGTCAAGTAAGGTAGTATAACGTACTATCAGTCAAATCCAACAGCTGGGCAGCGGTGGTGAACATCTGCGGCGGTAATTGCGGGGGACCTTGCGACATGGGTCCGAGCGTGTTGTTCTGCGGGGGGAAGCCCTGCGGCGCATTGCCATGGTGGGCACCGGCCGGGTTCTCATTCATTGGAAGGCGTTCCATGTTTGATTCAGAAGCGGGCTTAAAGCCAGAGGTGGGTGTATATGGAAAGACAGGTAGCCATTGCATTGCTGCTGCGGCCGATCGAAGGAAGTCAGTGACGGGTTGGTGGGTGTTTGTTCTGTTTGTTTCGCTGCTCAATCAATGGATCGCAATACAGACTCCACAAGTTTCCTCCACTGTTAATTACCTTTTGTTGCGGTAACTACTCAAAGAAATAAGATACTATATGATAAGTTTCCTAGTAATATACCTATAATTCAGGGCAACGCGCATCACGGCTCCTCCTGTTATAGCCAATACCTATGGTGGAATACCGGTGATAATGGCAGCGGTATATAGTGTCTCGGCTCACGATTACACTGGATCCCAACAGATGATAAGATGATTCTGTCGTATAATTGAATCGAGTGCAGAATTCTTACAGGTCAGAGGAGTATCTGATATACTAAATCTACATTCTAGCTGGGTCCCGACCCGGCAGGAACGATGCGACAATCACGATGCTACCTTCCTGCCGCTTCTAAGCAACCTAGTATATATTATTAGTACTCATGGATTCTGCCTTCTACTTAGCTGCTAAGGGGTGAAAATCAGGTAAGAAACATCTCTCAAACGTATAACTATCAATTGCTATTGAAGACATTCGAACGCAGCATTCCACCATAGTCCATGGTACCCCCTCACGATACCAAATTGGTTGCTTTTGAGGCCATCGCTGATAATACACGACTCGGTAAAACTTATAAACGACATGACAGAAGAGAACATAAGTAGCAATGAGCTTAGATGAGACAAGATGAAGAACTGCAGCTAATCACAGCCAATCAAGCGACGCTAACCCCTCGACGCTGACTACGCATTCTCTCCTCGCGTCGCCGACTATACGGAGCACAGTAGGGCTCATCGGAAGAGCCGATGCTTGCACGAACTGGTTCCTGCGATTGATGGTACGCCGGGCTCGAAGGGGGCGGCGGGAGTTGCATCACTTTGAATTGATCTACGCTGATGATCCTCAGGCCATACAGGTACTGCATCAATTCAAAGTCAGGCCGACTGCCGGCCAGAGTCTGGCCCTGCTGATAGTGGACCACGTCGACGTGGTCAAGCATTGCATCCCATGCTCTCGATTCAGCGGTATCGGTAAACCGTTCCCCAGGACACAGGGGACAGCGCGCTGTCTTGGGAGGTTCGTGTGTGCGAAAGTGGCTGAAGACATGAATTCTCCAGTCCTCGGCATTGTCAAACGTGATGTGACAGTCAAGGAGATGGAACAAACAGATATAAGTATAGGGGGTGGTGCGATGATCAGTGTGAGCTGGGACGATGAGGGCCCCGGTCCCATCATCCTCGAGGATCTCATGACCTGCGAGGCCGGATGCCCATCTTGTGTCCAAGGATGCGCTTGACGAGGACGCAGGCGTCGAGGCAGTGTCGTTCGATAAGGAGGGGACAGCTGTTGACGGGGGCATTTTCGTTTCCTCAAGACGACGCCTTCAATCTGGCTCTATGGAACTAGAGCTTGCTCTTTCTTCTCTCTTTCCGTAGAGGGTTGGATATTCAAATGCGCGCGCAGCTGGAATAATACCGAAGTTCCTGATAAACCGCCGAGGCACGCCAGAAGCGCCCCGAGATGGGCAACAACGAAAGAGCGATCCCGTTCGAGAAAGTGGTCGAGAAGAGCCTGTTTCCCACATGCTTAGTCTGTGTGCAGTTGAGGGAAGACACAGAGCCAGTCATGGCTGTGAAGCTTGTCACCATTCCCCTGCTTAAGAAGCGGGGGAGAAGATGGGGAACGGGAGCGAAGCAAGTATTTCCCCATGATAAGAGAGGCCATTCGTTACCTTCTTTTTATTTTTTTGTATGATCTCCGATTTTATCAAGGCAATCCAGACATAGTCAGTCAGCGACGAAGCACTGAAGAATCGACCAGAGCATCACAGCGCGACCAACCTTGCCGGGGAAGAGAAGGTGGAGGGCGGTTCAGCGACGGCCATGGTGGGTTTGAGGCTCCAGAGGGCACATGGCGGGGAAAGGGAAAATTAAGGGAAAAGTAGCGATGATGGAACGAAGGATGGAGGATAATTGCAAAGAGAAGCACAAGGAGGGGGGAATCCCGGAAAAGCCCGTCAACGGTGATTAGTCGCTTCGGTGAGCAGTCAATTTTCAACAAACCAGAATCAATTAGACTACGACCTACTACCTATCTAGTGGACTGGCAGCCAGCAAAGCCCATCCAGCCCTGTCCGGGTTGTGTGGAGAGAGAGAGAGAGATGTGCGAATACCATTCCGTGGATAAGACCAGCGACATGCCTCCACGACATCCACCACCCGCTTGCTTGGCTTGTTTGCTTTTTCTCCTACCTTTCCTTACTCTTCTCTTCAACTTGCATTCAAACTGACATATTTAGTAACATTTGCAACATAGCAAACTCACTGACTGACTGACCACTCGGAACAGTTCACCAACTTCCCCCCCATCAGCACTGTCTTTCTACCTTGAGTCTATCATTCTATGATCGGGGATCAAGGATGAGAAATGAACCGATGGCATCATTTTACTCTGTGCTGTATCTATCTAATTTCTATCTGACGCAATCCCAGTAAAGTAGTTCAGGCAGCCCATTCATCAACACCCCCACAAACATCCCTGCATCGGACCACGCCGATAGCCAAAGGAAGGAACATCTATCTATCAAATCTATTACTGATGTATACAGTAAATACATAACCAGCATGCGAAAAATAGACCCCGAATTCAATCAGTCCCTATGACTTGCGGATATCTATCTATCTATCTATCTACCTAGAATCCCTGATCAGCCGAAAGTCTATGAGTAGTAGCTGAGAGCTAAGATAACGTGAAAGAAGGGGCTGACTGCTGACCTTCCAGGGGAGAAGAAGGAGGGATCATGCGCGACGACTTTACTACTTACTACTTACTCCTGAAGAAAAACGACCTGACGATCGGCGTCTACCTATCCTGAGACAAGACACACACACCCACACCCACACACAGTGGGAGAGGATCAGTGGGATCCAGTTTTTTTATTTATTCATATTACTCAATACGTATATAACTACTGTACGTGCCGACTCCGACTCCCGGGGGGGTATGGTCATGGTTTGGTCTTGCCGTCATTTTTAATTTATTTTATCTATCCACAGTAGTATAGTGTATCGTGGGGGTGGACTCGTTCTAAATAATATGACCTATGTCGTGTAGATTTGATTGGCTACTGGGTGGGAATTTATTACATAGTAGATGATCCATCATGATGGTAGTATGTTCCAATCAAAGGCTTATTTAGAATTTTTTAGAGTGACTTCCCTCTCATCCTGCTCGAGGTCTATAATCACATGTTTTTGTATGGAAATGTTCTTCGAACCAAGTGTGGTGTTTCAACACATGAATTTAATATGGAGAAGGGTCTGATGCCTCAGAAGAGAAGAGAGAGAAGAAAATAGGGAACACAAGAGCTGATGAGCAATTTCGCTTGGTATAGGTTTAGTGGAGAGAGAAGGAGATGTTTCAGAGGAAGTTTGTGGGGGAGGGTAAGAAAAAAAAAAGTATTTGATAAAAAAAAAAAGGCAAGGAGGATCAGAAGAGGGGACACAAAAAGAACAAATTCACAGGATATCCCGTCCATCTATCAGTAGAGACGCCTTGCAACAAAAAAAGTAGTAGGAGAGGAAAAACAATGAGAAAGATAATCCAACAGAAAAGCTGAGGAAAGAAAAACCACCCAATCACCCGACACCAATGATGCCCATGAACCTTTGTAAATGCACAAGTCTATTCGGTCGTAGCGCGCATAAAAGAACTGCTGATTTTTTTGAACCCAATTTTTACACAAACCAACGTGTGGCTGAAGAATGTTCGAACTTAAAAACGTTCGGCCAGGTCACCACCGGCAACGGAATTCGCGGTCGACGATATGACCGACGAGAATCCACTACCAGGATTCAACATATCCTGAACGGCGACTTTCGGCACCTGAGGGACTGGCAGCTTGCGCTGTGTTCCGTCCGGTTTAGACATGATGTCCGAGATGCTGGGACCATGGTTACCTTGGGAAGGACTGTAGTAGTTGGGCCCTTCCGGTTGTGGTTCCATCGGAGCAAGAGCTGGTGTGTGGTGGAGCGACAGATGACGGATAGACGGCAAATGCAGATCGCTGGAGCCCAGGGGTCTCAACCGCGGTGAGTGAGCGGGAGTCGCCAAGGGAGTGTGATCGGGAGTGGGTGAGAGGGAATCATGAGAGAAGGTGGGAGAGGAAGGAGCAGTCGAGTTGGGAGAGTTGGGTCTTGAACGTTTCACACGGTGCGAGTAACCGTCGTCGTCTTCATGTGAATGCGACCGGCTCATGTTGTGTGTGATCGCGTAAGCAGACAAAGAGGGCAGACGGCCACTTCCGTGGTGGCGCGAGCTGAACAGATGGTGATTGCGTGGCCCTGCATGGAAGCTGAAGTGTTCGTCGCGTTCCACCTGCGACGCAGCCGTCGCCAGGAGGTTAATGTCCATGCCCGACGATGCCCGTTCGCTATTGCGAGCATACGGGCCCAAGTTCGACCGCATGTGATTGGCGTAGTTGGAGAAGGAGTGAGGGGGAGAAATGTCGGGGGAGCCGACCTGCGACACGGGGGCCGACCGGGTCATTGGCTTGCTGGGAGGAGGCATCATAGCGCTGGCGGTGTTGGCCATGGCGTTGTCCTGCCCTGCAGCAGCTGCAGCGGCCGCGGCCAGATGCTGAGCCTTATTGCTGCGCCTCGAATTAGGGTTGTTGTGGATTCGCGAGTGGCGCGTAAGCTCATCAGAACGACTGAAACGCTTAGTGCAGCCGGGGAACTGGCAGGCGTGCGGCTTTTCACCCGTATGCGTGCGAATATGTCTTGTCTGGTGCTCCAGACGGTGGAACGCGCGATCGCAGAGGGGGCACTTGTAAGGGCGGGGAAGATCCTGACGCACTTCTTCGGTCGCAGGCCGGGCACCCTTCATGAGCGGCGGAAGTAGGCTGACTGACGACGCCATGTTGGAGTTCGACTGTGTACTGGACGGAGTAGAAGGAGTCTTGGAGCTGTCCACAGGGGTGGAAGGAGTGGAATCAGTGGAATTGCTTTGAGGGTTCAGCAGATTTGAGAAATCTACTGAAGAGGCCGGTGGCGGCATGTGAAGCTTGTCCCAAGACCGACGAGGGTAAAAAGGTAGGACAGAGCCGGGTTTAAAAAGGACACGTTCGGAAGGGATGAGAAGCCGAGGCGATAGTGATGCACGTCGCGACCAGGGGTAGCTATATCGGCCAGTCGATCACCACCCGCTAGCACCCCAGACCTAACCTTGGCAAGGAGAGATGATAGGAGGAAGACCGCAAGGGTAGTGAGGATCACAGGGCCCGGATGACGAACCAGGGCGAAGCGGTATTCGATTGTGAATTCAACCAAGGGCTGATAACGACGAATTCCCTTTCAATTATTGAAGGGATACGGAATGTGTGGTAGTTATGATAAGTGTTGGGTGAAGCCGGAATCGGAAATGGACCCCGGAGGTGGATGAGTAGCGAGCCGGACAAGGGTGATGTTGAGCAAATGGTCTCGAAAAGAGGAGGGAGAAAGAAAACCTGGAGAAGATGATCTGGGGAGATGAATATATAAGAAGAGAAGAAATCGGGAAGGGCGAAAAGATGAGGAATGGAGGGGAAGAAGAAGGAAACGGAATTCGGGGGAGGGGAGGGAAAAGAGGGCGACTCGTAGAGGGGGTGGGTTATCGGAATCGGAGAGCAGAATGGGAACGCGAAGAAAAAAAAAAAAAAGAAAAAAAAGAAAATTGAAAAATGGAAAAAAAAAGATGGATAAAAAAAATCGATGAAAAGGGAAATATGATTAAAATAAAAAAAAGGGAAAATAAAAAATCGAAAAAAGAAAAAGACTATGTACTTTGTGTGGGGATAAATATCGGGGGGGCAAAAAAAGCAGGAAAGGGAAAAAGAACGTGCTTGAACCAGATCGGCTGCTTTGCTTCTTGGGGCTTCAAACCGGTCAGTCAGCTCTCCTAGTCAGATGGAACGCAATGCTTTGTCGTTATCATTTCATGCTCTTCTTATCCTTTTTATAATTACTTGCCTGGATATATGATGTTATGATCACTTGGTATCTACCGCTCTTATACTCAGTACATGAGTTCTTTGATGAATATATGGATATACTCTCTTTAAAGTCCTTGAATTGCCAAACGGATGTCTCCATCCGTTGCCTATCTCGGGGCTTCTTCCGTCTGGTTTTCGGGCCACGCACGGTGTGTTAGAAAAATTTCACTATTACTGACCGGGAAGAGAGGGTGTCAAAACAGGTAAGGCGTGTTAAGAAAAAAAAAAAAGAATGTGGGGCGGACTAGAGTCAAGAGGGATTACGGAGTAGAAACTGGAACTGCAGAAGTGGCTGTGTGGTCTGGAGAAGTGCGTGCCCCGTATTGTTG